CTGCAATTGAAAACCTTCATCTGCTCCTTCCAAGATGAACACCCACATTTCATCAAAAATAAGTGGAAGAAGAAAATCATGCACTGAGATGTAAGACTGCAGTTCATTTCACACAGGTCACATATGTGCTAGCATCAGACCTACGTGGAAGGCTTCCCTAGATAAGATTGTACCATCTCAGCCACATTACTCTTTTCTGTATGGCCTTCAATACAACTAAAATTTCCTAATCTCCGTAAATGGAAAACCTTCGCATTGCTACAGAGAGTAGAAAAGACTTAAGACACAAAACCTTGCAGACAGTGGATTCTCTCTCCATAACTGATATCATTCAGACAGAAGGGGAACCAAGCAAGCGGTTTTCTTCCCTTAGGCACAAGAACTACCAGTTATTCTTCAAAGAAGTTGTCAGTAATCAGAAGGTAACATCACCTGGAAAAATCACTCTCCCACTACACCAATCATGATTGGCAAGGCAGCAAATATGCTACAGTCTCAAGTAATCAATAATACCTATCATTTCCACCTCAATCACAGAAAGTCTAGCTCTTTTTTCTAATGCCTGCTTAACATCTCCAAAGGGCTGCTGCCCTCCCAAAAGAGCTGCTACACTCACTAGGTTGCCTCTTCTGGCTGTAAAGTCCCAGAGAGCATCTTGTGACACCAGAAATACAATGGAAGCTTTTCATCCTCCCACAGGGTCCTGAGAAAGGAAGTTTTTCACTCATTGACTCCTACCTGAGCCTGGCCTTGCCGAAACTTCATAGGACCTTTGGGGCTAATAAGACTGGTCACTAACCCAGGCAAAATAAGATGGCCAGCAATGATGCCCATGGTCAACAAAACAAACAGCAAACCATAATATTCCGGCTGCCAGGCAACAAGTCCAGACATACCAACAGTCCTCACTCAAAGCAAAACTCACTATCAAATACTTTCTACATTTTAAAATTGTTAATGTGGGTGTCAAGCTGATGTAAGACACAAAAGTAGCTGCCATTTATGGGTGATTATAAGTTTTATGAAATGTATTTATGCTGTACACTAATGGTTTCACAAATCGGTACACTACTAAGAAATGATAACTTTCTATACATTATTCAACAGGTGCTAGCTTTTTTTTCTCTCTCTCTTAATGTTATTTGCTATGGTCAACCTCACATCACAAGACCACGACTGTTCACATTAACAGTTGCAATAAGAGTATGAATCATCTTCACAGTCTACACAGTGCATGTAATGTACTTCGGAGGGCTGAACAGTTAGTTTAACCACAAGAATATCTTAGGAGATTGCTAGACACATTTGAAGTTAGTCCTGACAGGTCCAAAAGTGTAAAAATATTTACAGCTAAGATGCTTCTTACGGCTGTGACACGGAAGAAAGGTGTATAGCAAACCGCCTGTAAAAGTAAAAGAAAAATGTACCTTGTTTAGTCAGAATCAGAGTGGAACACATATCACAAGGGGCTGCATGAGGCTTCCTCAGGGAAAAGCATGCCAAATTTCGCTCCCTCACCACTGAGTACCAAAACTGAATACACTACGCATGTTAGCAAAAAGGATTTTTGGAAAGAATATGACTGGCTGATAGCACTGTTTCCTTTCATAGAGTTTATGTCAAATTTTGGCCCTAAGTCACATTAATCTAAAGTCTTTTACTGCTTCGGTGAAAACAGCTGCTCTCTGCCCTGCTGTTCATGATGGCAGCTATTTCATCTCAAAACAAGACTGGCAATGGAACATCTAAATAACCTTAGCTTTATGCTCTCTACTGTATATAAATTTTTATGCTGATAAAGTGGAACATTTACTGCTTAAACCAGTGCACAAGACACAAGTTCTCCCCTGTACTACTGAGACAAAAAACCACCCTTCATTGTACAATTTTTAAAAAACACCACAAAATCACATCATGATGCTTCTTAAGAGTACATTAGTAATTTATAAAATGAGAACTTCCCTCCCCCCAGCCAACTGTAAGGAAAAAACTGATTTTGAAACTCATGATTTTAATAGATTGAGATGATACACAATTGTGACAGGCTTAAAAAAAATCTAAAGCATTCTCTACTGTTTTACCTCTTTTGTCTGAATGATGCATTTTGCTTTCAAAACAGGTGAAAAATGAGCACAACTCATGCTTCATTTTCTTTCTTAATTTTAATCAAAAAGCTATTGTAATATTTCTACTTGTTTGTTGTTTAGCTTGAGCAGCAATGTGTATTGGTTATAAACGGTTAGGAAATACGACGCTTGATTTTTCAACAAAATGACTGAAAAGAGTTATCTGTTTCTACCTACAGTCACTCAAAGGCTTCCAAATCAGTTTACTGCACAAGTAAAACAATGTGCTGTTTTCTCCTAATTGTCAGAACCATAACCTACCATTTGAAATTTCAACAGTATTCTTCTGATGTTACTCAGTATTTCTCCAACATAAATTTTCACTTATATGCATGTAAATTTTAAATACTATCACTGACATAGAAAATCTGTTATCTTTCCTCGAACACCCTGGAGTAGAACTTAGCCTTTATGGAACAAGCACATACTGGTCACATAGGCTGCAGCTGAACAGACAGTCCTGAAAGAAACTCCATTCCTGAGCTGCACTTGAGCTGCATTTTAGGGAGACCATCAGGTCTACAACAGTAGGAAATCCAGGTGCATGGGGAGAGCCAAGTGCCTGAGGGTCCCTTAGTCTAGGCAGTCAGGGAGTGGGGACTCCACAGAGCACTTGCCAGGCCACTGAGACACAACTTCAGGCTCCAGAGTATGAATTTGCTGCCTATTTTTTTCTCTTTCCATCTCTGACACTGTTCCTTGGCTTTTGCAGCAGGGCTGCACTATGTCCATCATAGCACAAGACTTCCAGAACATCAATCATTTACTACAGCCTTGCACATTTCTGAGCTACCCATATCTCCTGCATCTTTTAGAATTAGGGACATAAAATAGCAGTCACTAAAAAAAACCCCTAAGTTCCTCATTCAGAGAAACCACGCTTTTGTAAATGGAAACATTGCCTGTTTAAGGGTTTTGTAAGCTGTCCTTCAGTTAGAAAAAAAAAAAAAAACAACACAGAAAGGGAAATGATATTTTAATTAAATCAAATTCCTATTCAAAATCTTAATATTTAGAAAATCAGGTCTACTCTGCTATGTGACTGCTGCCAAAACCAGTTATTTTCTATCATTTTTCACAAAATGTGACACTCCTAGCCCTCCGCACTGCCAACCCATGCTCCAAACACTTCTCTCACTGGCCGCCTTCCTGATTAAGATAGGGAAGATACAACAACAACACACTAAGAGTCTTTTGCTTCCTCTTCTCACAGGCCCCAGGTGAACAGATGCACTGTAACTACTAAGACACACCAGAACTATCACTCACTTTAACTCTGCTACTGTGTTTTGCCCCCTCAGCATGAGCCCAAGGCTCTTTTTGGCCTCTCTGACTTCAGGAAAGAAAACTGCATAAGGTGAGTACTGTCAACACCTGACCTTGTGACTTGGACCTGGTACAGACAGGGTTGGATTTGCACCACCTGATATCCTAGCTCTTGACTCCTACATCTAAGTTGTCTGCCTAAGCTCCCTTTGTAATTAAGGGTGAAAAACTGGTATGTTCAGGGTACTTCCCTTTGTTCTATTTCAGATCTTCAGGATGAGATGAAATCAAGTCCTAAAAGTGCCAGTTTCTCACAACTGACTGCAAGAAAGTAGAACTCCAGCAGAACAACAAACTCAAATGTGGACATGCATAATGTAGATACTGGCTGCACGGGTCTGACTGAGACAGCTAGATGAAAATATTTTATTTATTCTTACAAAAGATGACTTGACTTTGGAGTCTTAACGTAATTTAGTTGCATGTAACATTGAACCCTAAATATGTACAGTTATAAAACATCATCTGCAAATGTAAGTCACATGACTGCTTTCCAGAACAGAAGAATTACAGGCCATATGAAATTAAACTAATTACGGGTAATATGAAATGAACTGCGTTTTATTTAAGACACTTACCTTATTTCCAGTACCAAGGAAGAATTGATTTTCCAACCTTCTGCAGCATACTGGAAGATCGAGGAGCCACCCTTCTGAATTATCTTGTCAGAGCTATTGATCATTGATCTACTCAAACTCAGTTCACCATCTCTGCAATGCAATATAGAAAAGACACAATTACATCAAGGCTAACTCTAGTTTTAAAAAATTTATGTCACAAGCAGCAGTGATATTTCCTTCCATTCACAACAAAAAGAAGCAATTATCTCTCTGCTGCCAAAGCAAATAAACTGTACCGGTGAGAAATCTATAAGGACGTCTATATCTAATAGTTGAATACGCAATTTAAGACCTTAAATATGCTCGTATCTGTAATGAAATAGATGTAACAAAAATCATAATAAATTCCAAATTGTGAACATGGACCAAACTTCAGCATGTTTGTGAGGCAGAGTCTGCTCTTCTGTGTTCCAAATTTCCAGTACTTAAGTGTTAACTTTCAAGCCTTTGCCCAGCTATTGCTCATGTTTTACAACAGTGGCCTAATAGACTCCCTTTGCCTCCTATTGATACTAAAAGACTTTCAAGCACAGAAGTCTGGAGTTTAACAGCATACAAAACACAAAATTTCCTCAAGACTTCCTGAAACTTTTGTATACACATGTCCAAACAACTCCAGTTGTCTTATGCTCTTCATCAATCTTATCATATTCATAAATTTTGGTAAGGTAACCTTACAAAATTAAAATACAAAGCAAGCTGTGAGTGATGACCACTGAACATACGATGAGGTGTCGTGATGTTATCAGTTGCAATAATAGCTAATAGGGTGACACAAACATGACAGAGAACCAAAAACACTACAAGCACAACTTAAGGTGTTACATCTAAAATCTGTTTTTATCTCCATACGTTTCCATTATCTTCCATACTGTTTCCATTTAGGCACCTGAGCAACATTCAGCTGAGTTCAAACATAGCTGTTAATTATAAATATATCAAAGTTGTAGGATATAACATTGTAACATGTAGAATATCTTGTATCTCAGGACTATATATAACAGTAATACACAGACATCTCCTTATCTGTTAAATAAGTGTGTTCTGAAATACTGCCAATAACAGTAATTTCACTTAGCTTGTGAACAGAACTTTTGACCACCAGCCATTCAACCAAAACTGAAAAGACATGAGACTGCAAGCTTTCTAGGGAATTGCTGACTCCTGTTTTCCTGTGGCTGTAAGTTCTTAAAACAATTGGATTCTGGCCCTTAGTAAGAACTACAGCAACGTTACTGCTGTGTGTGTATAGATATGTACACATGTAATGTATTAATATTCAGTAGATTATCTAGCAGACTAAAACTTAAGCTGCAATGGGACATTAATTAAGCTAAATTAACAAAACTGGTAACATGTAGTTATTTGCAAAAAGTGCTATGATTGGAAAAGCCCTTGTAACTAATAAACCAGTATTACACACTTCATCAAAAATCCAGAATTCCTAGCAGTGCTCTCCCTCCCTCATCCCCTCTAGGCCAACGCGCTGCAGCACCGACACTGCACTCACTCATAGGTAAGACTGCCACCTACCGAAAAACCTGCAACTTTACGCAATCGTATAGGTATAAGATCTGTATGCAAGTTATCCAAATGACATTAACTTGAGGGCATGGAAGGATGCTGCAGAAGTCTCTAAATTCAATAATGAGAATGTAATAAATCCTTTTTGCTATTTTAAAATGTTTTATTCCTTAAACATTTTCCATAATGGTTGTAGATATACTTATTACATACATTTTCCTGCATATATTTTCTAGATGCATAGCATGTATGCATTTAGAGGAAAATTACCAAAATATATCCAGGTAAAGGACTCAGTCTGAAAGTACTTCAGAGATATCTCCAATTCATGCTGGGTTAAACATTTTCCAGCAGACACTTTAACAGCGACACCGTTCACAAAACTTATCAACAAAGTATGTTGCCACCAGCTAAAGCACCATAGCATCTGAAACATGGTTATCTTCCATATTCACAATTTACACCTGCAGTGAGCTATCTAAATTGTACAGTAAAACAATGTTAAATTATGTTCTCATGAGCTAAAAGAAGGTCCTAGGCACTCTATGTTTAAGTTCTAATATGAACATGAAGGTGTTCACTTACATGCTCCTCTCCCTTTTATCAGTACTGTCTTATTTTTCACGTAAAGTAATATTAAATAAACTCACACATAAAAAGCTAAATTTACTCCATAAAAACCTTCATTGTGTAAACAACTGTGACATAAATTTCAGCTACTTTGTATCTCCTAGAATCACTGCAAATCCTCTCTGATGTAAATGAAACAGTGTGACAGCAACTTTTGTCTCTTCACTCTGAATCACCTCGCCTTGGTGACCACTCAGACCAATATAGTAAGACTATATAAGACAGCATAGTAAGATTTCACCTGAAGACAGCTCAGGAGAATGATTTGGAATCATACATAATCCATTTTGGAACATCTGGGATTTACCTGCAGTGAGTGTAATAACCATAAAATAGGCCACTTGGGCACTCACAGTTCTGTATTACTGGTACTTCTGGAAGTAAAACACCCCATGGAAAACTGACTTTGTTTGTGCATGTGGCCAGTCAAAAATAACCACATGGCATGAGCCCTTCCTTCAGGAGAAAGGCAAGTGTAACATTAATAGTGGCAGCAGATACCAGTAGTACACCTAAGGGTTTTTTTATTCTGCTTCGTACAATAATACATGGGATAACAGGCTGGGAAAATAAACTATATTCCAATATCCTTAGCCAATGTGAGTAACACCATATCGCACAAGAAGTCTCACTGATACCAAAATAGTAGAGGTATCACTAAATGACCTGGCAGGAGTACATCACAGCTATATTTTATAGTGTTGTTAAGAACATATTTATGACTAAATACTTATTTTCTTTCATTTAATATTATATCTGTTTGTTTTAGTATATTTTAAATCATGTCAAACAATGTATCATAAGCTGAAGGGGGCTTTTTTTGCAAATATATATGGATTCTACCTAGTGACTAATTTCTGAATCATATTAGCAGCTACCTCTAGTCAGACATTAAGAAACACGGGTATCTAATGCTGATTCTCCCTCATACATTAATTTTCACATGTATTTTTGAACACCTACAACCCCAAAACAATTCATTAAACTTCTGTACATCTCATAAGTATGCAGATACCACAACATCACTGCAGAAACTGAGCTTACACACAGGCTGAACGAGAGGGAAAATTACCAGCAAGTTATGAAAACCTTTAATACCAAGGGAAGCAAACATCGCATCACTAAGCACGCACACAGGCGAGGCCACCCCCTGCTCCCGGGAGGTGGCGGAGCCACTGCGGCCCAGCTGTATCCAGCTGCCTGTGCCCTGCTCCGCCACCAGCCTCCCTGAGTAAGGGCCGGGGAAGAGGGATGCACTTTCTGCCTTTAACTCCGGCGACTGCGGGGCCAAAGGGAGGATTAAGTAGGTTGTAATTGCCCCAGCTTTCTCCAGGCCCGTACGGGCACCTACAACATCCTTACGACTCCTCCTCAAATTAAGGCAAGGGCTTACACCAAACGACGGTAATTTGCTGTGAATGCATCTTCCCCACAGTCGATTTACCCAAGCAAACTAAGTGTGAGCCCCTTTCCCGCCTTTGCTGATTTCACTAAGCCACCACGGAATTTATGCATCCCTCCTGTGAAAAAAAAAAATTATACCCCTCCAAGGTGAAACAGGCTTGGCTGAAAATCCAGCATCTTCACAGGATAGATGCAAGTTGGAAGAAAAATGAGGAATACAGGTATGCACGTAAAAAACCACAATGCACAACAAAGAGAAAGCTGAGGTGCAAACAGAAAAGTGGCAAGGGATATTTAGACTTCTGTTTTCAACCGAAGACAAGCAGGAAAGGGAAAACATGTTAACAGAGAGTCTCAGCGAGGGATCAGAGTTTCTAGCAGAGGAGCCTCGGGAGCTAAAGGAGGAATGCCCCGCACACTCTCAGAGCATCCCCAAGGAGCACTGAAGTCAAGCACAGCTCCCACGCCAACTTCAACGCAGGGGCCACCTGGAGCACCCCGGCACGCTCGCCTCTAAAGGGCTCCCAAAGCAGGAAAAGAGGTACAACGCGCTCCAGCGGCCGCCACCTCCACCTCCAGCCACCCCGGCCCGCGGGGAGCAGCCGCGGCCAGGTGAATTTCCCAGGCGCGCCCTATTACTGGAGCTAGGGAGGAGCAGCATCAGCCGCAACCCCGACACTGGGCAACCTCCAGCCCGTCCCGTCGTCCCAGCCCGCAGCCACGGAGCTCCGCCAGCCAAACCCCCTCGTAACCCATCCGCAGCGGTACCCTCGCCCGCACACGCCCTGCCCCCGCTTCTTTGCGCCGACCAGCAAGAGCGCCGAACTTGGGGTGGCACTGCAGGGAAGCGAGTCACGGCCCGGGGGGCGCCGGGGGAACCCGAAAACGCGGGTGGGGCTGCGTAGAGGATCTCAGGCACCGACATCGCCCCGCCGCCCCCTCGGGGAAACCTCCCGCCGCGGCGCCCCGCAATTACCCGGCTAGAGGTGCCTCCTGGCGCTCCTCGGTCCGCGCTATTTCCTTCGTCTTATAAAAGATGAGGAGGAGACTTATCGTGCACACAGTCCACCTCTTCCTGACTGAACGCATGTCTTCTGCGAAACGCGGTCCCCCTCCCCCTTTTCCTTTGTTTGTCAGAGGTGTGCGGAAAACAACTCCACGCGTCACACAAATTGCCAAAATCACAGTAATATTTTTTTAAATAATTAAAAAAAAAATCAGGCGGGCGCTGACGCTGGGATTTGTTTGGCGTTTAGTTCGTCTTTCTTTCACCCTGTCCTCCTCT